TCTTATCTAACTTTTGTTGTAGTAATTAAAATTTTATAAAAATTTATATCTGATCTATATTTATATAGTACTATTTACAGTAAAAATTTCAAGACTCTAGCATTTTAATTTAAAAAGTTAAGAGGGGTGGAATACTTATGATTCTGACTGTATCTTGTATAAAGATGCTTTCGGCTTGCTATTTTGTTTATTAAAAATTTAATAAAAGCTTCTTTGTTTATTAAATCTTTTTATTTATTAATTAAAATTACAATTATTTTGTTTATTAAAAATTTAATAAAAGATTTTTTGTTTATTAAAGTCTTTTTATTTATTAAAAGCTTTTTTGTTTATTAAAAAAAAATATTTTTTAAAAGCCTCTTTGTTTATTAAAAATCTTTATGTTTATTAAAAACCTTTGTTTATTATAATAAAATCTTTTTATTTATTAAAATCTTTTTGTTATTAAAAAATTTTTTTGTTTATTAAAATTTTTTATTTACTAAAAGCCTTTTTGTTTATTAAAAACTTTTTGTTTATTAAAATAAATTTTATTTATTAAAAACCTCTTTGTTTATTAAAAATATTTTGTTTATTAAAAGCCTTTTTATTTATTAAAATAATTTTTATTTATTAAAAGCCTCTTTGCCATTTTGTTTATCAAAAAATTAGATAATAAATATCTTTACTCTTATTTTAAAATTTTAAAATTTATATATTTGTAGGCCAAGCTGGGCTAAAAATTTAAATTAATTAATATGGGCCAGGCCAGGCTAGCAAAAAATTTTTAACCCTAATTGCAAGTGGGCCAGGCTGGGCTAGCAAAAAATTTTTAACCCTAATTGCAAGCGGGCCCGGACCACAAAATTAGAAATTTACAGACCTCTAGTTGTGGCTTGAAATAAGATCAGGTTGTGGTAGCACCCAAAAGTTAGCTTGAGATATGAACTTGGTGATAGCAGCATAACAGGTACTAGTTAGAAAGAAATTACTGAATATACAAGTAAAAATATATGTAAAACATGGACTACTTTGTTAGGTTTACCTCATAGATAGACTAGCTCAATTTGGGATTTAGTAAGTCCTAAGATGTGTGCAAAATCTGATTGGGTAGAAACAAAATCTACTTCTGAATAGTAAGTAATACCCAGGGTTAGAAGTCCCTATTGGCTTGAAAGTAGGTTATGGTTAGAGGGTTTAAATAGGTACCCCTTGTAGTTGGGGTACAGGTACAGCAGATAGTGTAGAACCTTCAAATAAACTACTTAAATTAGGCACCTAAAGTGCACATGTGGCTTGATATACTCTTACTGTAATTGAAATTAAAACTTCTAATAAAACATTTTCCGGCCTAACCTTAAAAAAAATAAATAAATATTTTTTAAAAAAAAAGCAAAAAAAATTTTAAAATATAAATTTGGTTTATTTTAAAAAATAAAACTTTTTAATAAATTTTTTAATTCAATATACAGAATATAGTATATACAGTATTTATATTTATTTATTTTTTAAAAAATAAATATTTGTTTGCTTTAACAAAGCAAAATACCCCATTATAAAGCCGTGTATATTTCTTTTTTATTAACCGGAATTTATAATAAAAATTTTAAATAGCACACAATTTTATTATGTTACACATTATAAATTTTTTCCGAAATGTAGATCAATTTTATATTTTGTTATTGATCGTTATATAAGGAATTTACATTTACTGTCATTCGTACAAATTTTGATTATTAGTAAAAACTTTCTTTGTAATTTTGTTCCTCCTAATGTTGTAATAACAAATAAAAAAAAGTGAGTTATAAATAACAATAAATTTGTATATCGATATCTATTTTATATCACTAAATACACAATATCGATATAAAATTATTATATATTCACTAACCAATTAAATTGCTAAATTTGCGTATTGAGATTTGTGTACGTAGCATAAAAAAAATCCGCACTTAATGGATTAGATTAATTATAATGTGTGACACTCTAGCATTTTATGGTTACTATTGTCCTGTTAAAATTAGGTTGGGTTAGTAAAAAGTGGCTTATATGATAAAATTTCGTAAAAACAACTATTAGAATACAAAAGGTGGCCTCTTTGACAAAATTTCAAACTTACACCCGATTTTTTTTTTAAAAAAATGAAGTTCATTATAATTCTCGCATTGCGCACGTGATCTTGTAATCTAATCATTATTTTCGGACTTTTTTTCCTTCAAACATTATTACAGTATTGTAATTATTGTTTCTTTAGGAGATACAGGTTAAATAATCTAATTTAACGCAAAGATAGTAATTGGTACCATCTCGTGTGTAATTGCGCTAAAAAAACATAGTTCTTCATTTGGCATATCTATTCATTTAAAACTTATGTTTATACTATATATACTGCAGACTACGTAAAGGTAACGATAGTAAGATGACTAAAAATAGAAAATAAAGATCTACAAAGAATAAGGAGGTCAATGTATTAAATTTCTTTGATCAATAATTTGTGCTTGGCTTAACGCAGGAGTAATAAAAAATTATCCAATCACATGAGCAGTTAAAAATGTACTTTTTGTAAAACAATGAAAATTATAAATTCTTTGTAACATTATTGTATTAAAAAAATTTTATGCGGTAATTCTTGCGTACAAAGTATTATAACAAGTCTGCAAATTGAAAACGTTGGGAATTGACTTCCATTTTTGTTTTGATGCTTAAACTCTCATTTTGATTTATTTTTTAATTATCGCGCTACATGAGTATAATATCCGAGAATGACCAATCAAATTTAAACTTATGTTTCGGGCTCACAACGGTTTCTGTTTCCTAATATTGCATTTTTGCATATTTTATTTTATTTTTCATTGATATACTGTATGTTCAAGTAAGAATATCATGTGATTGGTGATAGAGGCTCACGCGAGCCAGCCAGGTTTGAAAATTGAAATAAAGATGTAAAACGAATCTGTCAAAAATATAATTCAATTTATCTAAGTGAGATAAAACAAAAGTGGGTTTTTTTTTTAATTTTGATTACCGTTACAGAGCATACATCATATCGACATTATCTGCTATAATACTTATTCTGCTGCTGGGAGGAAAATGATTACTTTATGCGCCTAAATTTTGCCAATTTGTATTAAATATTCAAGTTTTAAAATAATTTATGGGTAATTTACAACAGTATTATAAGGCTTAACATGCGCCGATATACTGTAACTAGCTACATTGCTTCTTCATCTACTAAATGTGACAAATAATAAAAAAAAAAAAAATCTTACACTCAAACGTCTTCCGTTTACCAGACAATATCAATCTGTGAAATAATTTGCTAATTTTTTTAATTTTTCACCAAGAACAGATTTCGAAAAGTTATTGATGTGGCTAACCATGTTGATAGTAAACAAGAGCAAGCATTCATTCAAGCCACAGGCGTAGGATCTTTCTTTTTCTTTTACAACAAACAATCATAAAGAAAAAAGTTTCTCACTAAGCCAATTTACCTTTAAAAAAAAAAACTTTAACAAATATGATGTCCACATAAGGGCTTAAAATCTAGTAATCGCTAAGCAATATAAACGCCTAATTCAAAATATTTTGTAATTAATTAACAAATTGAATACTAGGATGCTTGCGCGAATTCGCGAGTAACATTCGTTGTTTATAAAGAATTTGACTTGCTTACAAATAATATATGAGAAGAGCAAGTAGCATCACCGACTCAAATATCAATATCCACTTTTCTCTCTCAAAATTTATCTTATTGAGTTTTTTTTTAAAAAAAAAAAAATTTGTTCACATTTATTTTTATGACTTAAGATTTTCACATAATATTTAATTACGAAGATGGCGCATCTTGTCCTTAAAATTGCTAATTTAATAGCATTCTTTTTTCTTTTGGGTGTTAATGTCTATTCTGTTCTCGCTCCAGTTAAAGTTAGTCTTATTAAATGCAGTTATCTGATTTGTGGTCAAGAAATTTAGGATTATGTTTTACCGATTATAAGTCTTTTAAAAGTTGTTCAAAAGAACTTTTTACGCGTATTCACACTAATATTTCATACGGATTTTTTTAGGATGCTCCTTTAGCCCACATCACATATATTTCTCCTGCTTATTTCACTTTTTATGTCTGGTTTCTTATTCATCTTTTGTTAACAGGATTTGGTAAGTTTTATAATTAGTATAATCAGTTATCAGTTTCTTATAAGTACAATTTTTCTTATTGATCATTTATTTTAGTTATTTATCAGTTCTGTATAAGTGAAGAAGAAATTATTAGAGCCATTAACTGGCATTTTGTTGGTGTTGCCTTGCTAAATACCTTATGGCTTGCTTTATGGGTAAAGATATTTAAATATATTAATTAAAATTAGGTCACATAGTCTATATCGATGTCGATATTTATTTATTTGTAAACAACTACATTTTTTACAGGACGACGATACACTTTTCCTAGCATGGATCGTAGTCCTTATATTAGCATGTCAAGTAACTTACATTTATCGCGAAGTACATTTTGGTTTTGAATATGACAATGTCTTCACCTGGAAGTACTTTTTCATCCACTTGCCATTCACTTTATACCATGCATGGATTGTTGTAGTAGTAGTTCTTACAACCTTTGCCGCTCTCACACCCGAAAAAACTTACTATGAAGTTACAAGGGATGACACGACAACTAGTGTTCCTGATAGCCCAAACATAATTGTACAACTTGTCGTTATTATAGGATTACTCTTTCTTGAAATGACTTCCGTTACTTACATTGAATACAAAAGAGATTACGCGGGTGGAGCAGTGAGTCTTTTTTTTTTTTTTTTTAAAAAAAAAAAGAAAGACAATTTAATTTAATTATATAATAATTAAATAAATGATTTTATTTTAGGTCATTGCTTGGACTTTATATGGCATTTGGTGCGAACAAGAGGATTCAGTGATTCATTGGAGTGCACTTATACTCGCTATCATAGCCACCATTTATCTTTTTAAACCTTGGGTCGTGGAAATTTTTGGTGGTGGGAAAAAAGAACGGCAAACGGCGGATGTTTGAAATTATATTATTTATTTTAGATTATATAAAAAAAAAATTGTTTTTTTTTCTTTTTTTAAAAAAGATAAATACGATTTATCAATATTACCACTTAATTTTAGACTGGTGATTTATTTTCGAAAAAAAAAAAAAAAAAAAAAAAAGAAAATCGATCCATAGACAAGGGAATTAGTCGAAACAAATTTATTTCTCATTAAACAAATAATGTTCACAAAAAATTTGTTGAAAAATGTACCAAAAATTAAGATTTTTTTTTTTTTTTTTTTTTTTTTTTTTTATCTTTTAATAAATATATATAATCGTTTATAAAAATTTGTTATTAGTCTATTAGTGAATAAAAGTGTGATACTACAAGAGTGATACTGGATATAATTGATATCACGGTCGCTATAAAAAATGGTGGTAACGATTTTGAAGCAATAGAGCATTCCGTGCAGTGGAATTCTATAATATATTAAAAGAAACGTTAATTTCAACAAAATTCAAAGAAACGAAATAGAATAATTAACAAACTATAATATATATATTTACCTGATAGAGGAATATTGGTTCCAGGTGAGTACATGCTAAAACTAAAGGTTGTTGAGGCTTGTAACCTTCCAGCACCACCAGTATTTTGCGGACCTCTCTCATCGTAAATATAAAGGGTATACGTTCCCTCAATTAATTGGGGGTTAGTATATTGACTCGTATCCCAAACATACGTAGTGTTAATTGGATTCAAAAGATTAACTATTGTGTAATTTTGATTAGAATTCGACCAGCTTTGAGGTATAGCACATATATTCAAATATTTTGGCATAATTCCGAAATTGGATGAATAAGTCCATTGGAAAGTAACTTTATGCCCGATGGCTTGAAGCTTGTCTTGTGATGTGGGACTTGTGATCGTGATAGTAACTGGCGCTGCTCCGGCAGCCGGAAGGTTTGGAAATGCGGAGGATGAATTTGTTGATGTGGAATTTGAATTTGAAGTTGTTGTTGAATTTGAAGGTGTTGTTGAATTTGAAGGTGTTGTTGAATTTGAAGGTGTTGTAGAATTTGAGGTTGTTGTAGAATTCGAAGTTGTAGAATTTGAAGTTGTAAAACTCGGAGTTGTTGAATTTGAACCTGTTGGGTTTGAATTTGTTGAACTTGGAGTTGTTGTTTGACTTGGTGTCGTTGAATTTGAAGCTTGTGTTGGAGTATTAGATTCTAAAAAAAAAAAGAAATTCAACATATATTTCTTTTATATGTTTCTCGAAAAAAAATATGGTAAAGATCATACTCACGTCGTTTGAGCAAACTGTCGTTAGCAGTTGCACTTTGAATATTCAACGTCACAAAGATCAAGGCAATAATTAAAACTGACAACAACTTTATTATCGAACGCATAATTTCAGATAATTTTATGCGTCAAAAATATATACTATATATATATATTTATTATTATTTTTTTATTTATTTACGACCTATATTCTAAGCGGTTTGTTTTTTTTTTTTTCGTTTCGTATTTAAGATATATGCCACGAGAAATAATAAAAGGATTAGAATGTTTATCAATAATGATCAAAAAGTAAATCAACTTATTTGTGCAAGACCAAAAACAATCGATCAAGCATTCTTATGTCACTAAATTATTAGTTACAGTACAACAAAAATAAAACGGCATTCAATATAAATTACGTTTTGATGATACCTGATCCCTAAGGAGCTTCCAATGAAATTAAACCTTATAATTAATTTACAGGTAAGAAAAAGGAAAAAAGGAAAAAAGCGGGAGTAAAAATGTTCTTGAACCTTGAAACGAAGCAATGTGTGGATCCTTTTTATTTACTCGCATGCCCAATCATACAAAAATTATTTTAATCTAAAAAGGTGGCTATTTATATTATATAGTGCGCTTCATGTTCCATAATTCCAAATATAGTTTTGTGTTGAATTAGAAAAAAAAAACCCATGCACTTGATTCGTTCAACAATTGCTTAATACATATACGGTCGTTATTGCGCAAATTTGCGTTTGTCCGTGCGGCTTAGAAAGAAGCATTGTAGAAACAACAGAATGTAGTACTTTATACTATAATTGCTTTTTTTTTTTTTTTTTGTATTTGCTTCTAGATTATTCTGCCAAAATTAGGCATTTGATTGTAACATGACATCTTCTTTTAGAAACGAAATATATTATTATATATCATTATTAAAAACCGTAATTCTTTGATTTGTCTGAAGCAGGGGTACAATCTTAATATTTTTTTTTTTGTTTTTTTAATATCACCATTTATCGATATCTTTCTATTACCTTTTTAATCTCGAGAGTAACGGAGTGATTTACTATGTACTATTATGTAAAGATTAACTCAAGCGGCGCCAAGAAACTCGGCTAACATGAATTCCAAGTTTTCCCTTGGCGAATCATGTGTAGTTTCCAGTTATAAAATGATCATACAAACTTTCTTCTTCCCCAACCATTTATAGTTATAACTATTATATTTTTAACTCAACAAATTTATGACAAAATTAAAAAATGTAAATCAAAATGCAGTATAAATGTAGGATGAACTTCACTAATTACCGAATTATTTGTGTAGGTATTGTGACGAATCGAGTAATAAAATATCTTATACGTGTTATTGAAACTTCTCCGGTTGCCATATCCTTCTGTTAAATAATTAAATTTGTGAGTAATCTAGACAATGGTTCAGTGTCGAGTTGGGGCTTTCCGTCCATTACTTATTAGATCAACTTTTGTAACGAAATCATATGCAAAAAAAAAAAGTTTTTGACAGATGAAGTGCATTAAGGTTGGTTTGAGTATAACGGAAGACTTTACAGTTCAAAGAAATGTTCGTCTATTTTTCGCGTGACTCGACTATGATTGGCTGATATTATTCATGCAAGACATTTTTATGCAATTTTCAAACTAGCTTGGCTGATGCTAACGGACTATATTTATAACAATTTTATATTAGCTAAATCAGTGTTGTCACTTGGCCGAAAAGGGACCATTTCGGTCAAATATTTTGTTTATACGTAGCATTAATATTATATACGTTAGAAATTTTTGGGCTATTGGCCAATTGGCCGGCCAAAGGCCAAAAAAATTTGGTTGGCCGCAAAAAATTGCCAATACTAAGCTAAATTTTTTTTTTTTTTTTTTTCTTTTTTGATAAACAGACTATAATTTTATTAGCAAAGGTTTGTAAAATAAATTTTTGTTAATTATTATTTAACTAGAAGTTTTACTTTTTAATTTAATGTTTATTTTAAATTTATAATTTTATTTATATATATACTTATAAATTTGGTTTTATTATAATACTAAAAACACTAGTAGTATTTAATACTAATTTTATTATTAAATTTAAAATAAGGGAAGTGTTATTTATCAGCTGATTTTTTGTAAATAGTAAAATTCCCCCTCCTTCAAATGATTACGAAACATATATACATGTGACTATTAGCATGATATTTTGGCGCTCACTCCCCTGCTAAAAAATCAGCTGATAACTAACCCTTCCCTAAATATTATTATAAGTAAAAGTAATTTTTTACATTTTTTATTTTTCCAAACTAATTTACAAAAAAATCAAAATAATAGTATATTTTAAAACATTATAATAATATTATTAAAAAATGTTGGTTTAGAAATATACAATATTAAAATATATTAATAATATTTTTTTGCTTAATTATAGATTTATAATAAGTTTATAACTAGTAGTTGTAATATAATAATGAAAAAAAAATTTGTTAAAAAATTAATTTTTACAAAATGCTTTTATAATACTACAAATAATTTTTTTATATTACAATTATTAGATATATAAAACCTATTATAAACCCATAATTTAGCAAAAATATTAATAATATATTTAGAGAATTGTTAATGCCACCTCCCCAAAATTTAAAAAAGTGCTCCGGAAGAGGCATTTTATTAAGTAAATCCTTATTTTGATCTTAATAAAAGTTGTTTATCAGGCCTTTCTGGTTCTAATGGTAGTAAAATCATTAAAATTGGACCAGTGTTTTTTTTAAAAGTAAATAAAAGTTTACTAACTTTGGATATATATATCTTAAGAACTACTGGTCAAATTTTAATAATTTTACTACCATTAGAACCGGAAAGGCCTGATGAACAACTTTTATTAAGATTATAATGAGGATTTACTTAATATGAATACCTCTTCCGGAGCACATTTTGATATTTGGGGTGGCATTAACAATTCTCTATATTTATATATAAAAAATTTTAACCCAACATTTTTTAAATAACATTATTATGATGTTTTGAAATATTTTATTATTTTAAAATAAAAAATAATTATAATTTTTTTGTAAGTTTCTGTAAAGTAATGCTACTCATTAGTTGATTATAAAGTTTTATTATTTAAAATAAGATATCTGAGTTTGTGAATAACTCACTCTCTGCCTAATATATATATTACTTATATATCTATTTTTTATCAAAATTAGATTTATTGCGAATTGGGTCCAAATTAAGAACCCGAATTACTATTGGGTTGCCGTACTATTACGTATTACCCACATAACGCATCTATCAAAATGAACCCCTACCTTAAGACCCATTTCCTATAAAATAAATATATTTATTTTAAAATCGATCTGTTTATGGTATATACCGATATTTATTTAAAGAATTTGGCGGAAGGGGATATGATATGTTAATAATAATTTATTAGGATATGCGCCACTTTATCTAACATATTCACATTAACATATGCGTCATACAGTATGTTGTCATAAATTTTAGGGTAGTGTAAAAATTCGCATTAATGTAAAGATCTTTTTAATTTCATTGTTCGTGTTAATTTATTAAAAATAACTTGAAATTCGCAAATAATGCATGCTATTATTTTAACCAAATTAATGTTTAAAGGAAAAGAACTTAATTAGCATCTAAAGATATTTTAATCTTCAATGTATTTTAAACTATTCAAATTTGTATTAATTTGGTTATTTTTATTATGATAAATAAAAAATAATAAAAAAAAAAAAAAAATTAAAAAAAAATTAATATATATATATGAGTGTCGCCAAAAGAAAACCCGACAATTTAAATATAGTCTATATTTAAATTGTCGGGTTTTCTTTTG